AGTTCGGGTGGTCTCTTGGACAAATCACCCCAAGGGAGAGTTCGGGTGGTCTCATGGACAAATCACCCATTCAGCTTCCGCAATAGGGTCTGCACGCAAGGGGAAGCAGGGCTTTCGCACCATGGACCAACCCGTGACGGGATCCTACGCGCAGGACCATAACAAATTGGTATCAGAGCCAAACGTCACGGGCGATATGGAGCAGCTGTCTTCCAAAGTCCATGAACTGGAACACCAACTTGCAGAAACCAGCATGGAGGTTCGTGAAGTCATGGAAGACGTCTGGGAGATGTGACGCCTGTTGGAAGCACTCCTCTCCAACAAAGAAATGAGTTCGGAGGGAATCACCAACACCAACAGACGCCGTCTGGACTGGGTAGAGGCATGCAGCGAACAACAGATCGCTGCCCCTACAGCCGCAGTTATTTCCAAGGATCAGCGCATGGAGGATGAAACTGTAAAGTCCCCTCCTTTGGCCGGGGACGAGGTCACGAACATAATAGTAGAACCTACAGAATGCTCTCCTTTGACGAAGACAGGTGGGCTTGGCGATGTTGCTGGGGCTTTACCGAAGGCCTTGGCTCGGCGTGGACATAAAGTTATGGTTGCGGCACCACAGTATGGTAACTATACAGAAATCCAAGAAACAGGAGTGCGCAAGAGATGTAAGGTGGAGGGGAGGGATATAGAGGTAGCTTTCTTCCAAGCTTATATTGATGGCATAGATTTTGTGTTCATGGACAGCCCTATGTTTTGTAATATTGAGGAAAATATATATGGGGAAGGCCGAGAGGATATTTTAAAACGCATGGTCCTCTTCGGTAAGGCAGCTCTTGAGGTCCTCTACTRTAAGCATACCCGGTGCATTCTTATGATCCACAACATAGCACACCGGGGTCGTGGTCCAGTACGTGATTTCTGTTATGTGGACCTTCCACAAAACTACTTCAAACTATATGACCCCGGAGGTAGGGAACACTTCAATGTCCTTGCGGCTGGCCTGAGTGCAGCAGAGCGTGTAGTCACTGTAAGCCATGGCTACGCCTGAGGGCGGGAAACAAAAGAAGGTGGCTGGGGTCTGCATCAAATAATCCAGCGTTATGCACTGAGAGACGGGGCAGTCCCTGTCGTTCATACTATTGGTGGACTGAGAAATTGTGTGCAACCGTTTGATCCATTCGCAGAATCCCAAGCCATGTATCCGAAACACGAGCTTGAGGACAAGCTCGTAGTCCGGGAGGGGTGTAATGTTATGGTCACACCACCCGGCAGCGCACTGCGGCGCAGTCATAGGCAGCAGCATGCACAGCAGGCCGCACAGCAGCACGCACCGTGCACACGCCCGGCACCACACAGCAGCGGCATCATGGCGCGCAGCACGCACCGCCAGGCAACAGCACGCACCGCACGCACTGCACGGCAGCACGCACCGCGCACAC